TTCCTTTCCTTTCCTTTCCTTTCCTTTCCTTTCCTTTCCTTTCCTTTCCTTTCCTTTCCTTTCCTTTCCTTTCCTTTCCTTTCCTTTCCTTTCCTTTCCCCTTGCCCTCGGTGCTCCCAGTGTTCCCAGTTCTCCCAGTACTCCCAGTTGTCCCCACAGCTCAGCCCTGGAGCGGAGGTGGGGCTGTTTCCATGGAAAAGCTGACACAGCTTTTCCAAATAAAAGAAGGAAAACAACCTTTAAATCCATGGGTGGAACAGGGAGGAATAAAGGGAAAAAAAATCCTTGGTGGAGGAGTTTGTCAGGAATGGTTTGGAATTGGTGGAGTTTAATGAAAGGAGAAGGTGATGAATTTTTTTAAAGAAAAAAAAAAAATTTAAATAGAAATGAATTAAAAACTTGAAAAGAAAGGAATGTTTTAACAAGGAAAATATTTTATGAGCGCAATATTTTACGAATAAAATTGTTTTAGAAATAAAATAGTCTTAGAAATAAAATAGTTTTATAAATAAAATAGTTTTATAAACAAAATTGTTTTATAGAGAAAATGTTTTTATTAATGGCAATATTTTTCATATAAAAAATGAAAGTTTAATTTATAATTTATAAGTCTGCATCCCAACTGACAGGGAGAGAGATTATGGAATGCTGGAGTGAAGTAAAATATTTTTATAAATAAAATAGCTTTATAAAGAAGGGTTTTATAAAAAAAACATGTTTTTATTAATGGAAATAATTTTATTGACAAAGTATAAAATTCAATTTTTAATTCCAAAATCTGCATCCCGAGTGAAGAGGAGAGGGATTATGGAATGTTGAAGTAAAGCAAAATATTTTTATAAATAAAACTAAATAAGATATTTTTATAAGGAGAATGTTTTCATTAATGGAAATACTTTTATTAAAAAAGTATAAAATTTAATTTTTAATTCCAAAATCTGCATCCTGAGTGACGAGGAGAGCGATTATGGGATGTCCCAAAGGCTTTCCTGGTGGCACCGGTGCTGGACTGTGAGCAGATCCCAGAGTTTTCCCGTTTTCCCGGGGTGATTCCAAGCAGGATCCAGCTCTCCGTGGGTCACCCTCTGGATCCTGGCTCCTCCAAGTTTTCCAAGGCCAAAAAAAACCTGGAATTGGAGTGGGCACAGCTCTGCTTCCACAGGGGGTGCAGCTGCTGCCGGGATCTTCCAGCCACAGAGAGGAAAACAGGGAATTTTTCCAAATCCAAAAGAGGATTTGGGGGTCTGAAAACCTGGAAAACTGGTCCCAAACTGTCCAAGAATGTCCAAACGGGAGTTTTTAATTTAGTCTGGATTTTATGTAAGCAGCGCTGGTGTCTCCAGAATAAACAGGATTCCTGCCTCTTGGAATGCCAACTTTCTTTTTGGGAATAATAATCCCATTCAGGGAAGGATATTCCTGTTTACATGGTGGATTTAAAAGAGCTTGGATTTTGTCCATGTGGGAGGAAAAACAGTGCAGAAAAATGAGGGATGGGGAGTCCAAAAAAGAGGGAATTCAACAATATCCAGGTAGGAGAGAAGAGGCTGAGAAAATTGGGAATATTCCCCTGGAGAAAGGAAGGTTTGGACACCTCAGAATTCCCCCAGAGAGGCTGCAGGGAAGTTGGAGAAGGAGCTGGAGAGACAGGAAAAGTGGGAATGGTTTCACAGCTCTAAAATCTCCTCACGATTTCCTGGACTTTGGAGCAGGGAAAATCCAGGTAAACAAAGGTTTCTCCAAGGAGCTTCTCCAAGGAGCTTGTGGTCTGAATTTGTATCACAAACAATGGGAATGTGGGATTTGCTGTTGTTTCTTGGAATGCCAGATTTAATCCATGGGAGTTTTTATCCGAGCTGAGCTTTATACGGAATTTTGGGCACCACCAGTTGTGCTCCAC